CTACAATAAATCAAAAAATTAGCCAGGCGTGGTGGTGCGTGCCTGTAGTTCCAGTTACTTGGAAGGCTGAGGCGGAAGGATGGCCTGAGCACAGCAGGTCGAGGCTGCGGTGGCCATAAGCGTGCCACTGCCCTCTAGCCTGGGCAACAGAGCGAGACTCCAACTCAATATAAAAAAAAATAAAAAAAGGTTTCTAGTCCAGTGTGGACAGGATAGTGGGAAATGGGGATGTCAACTTAATAGAGCCCCTTTTGGAGAGCCTATTGAAACTGAAAGCAATAAATGCCAGACAGAGGACTCAAATGGTGACTGTCTAAAAACAAAGACCAAGTTCAGTGTAATAATTTTGAGTTACCAAAATACAGTACAGTATAATGTAAATTAAACTAACCTTTTTAAAAAAACAGAAAACAGCACACCCGATGGTCCAGCAATTCCTCTTTCAGTCATATGCCCTGGAGCACTATCTCCTGTGGGCAACTGGACATGGCCAAGGATTTTAATTATTTATATGAAAAATTGGAAATCACCAATGGGTAAATAAAATGCCATATATTTATAGAGTGAAATAGTTATCGTCATTAACATTGGTGATCTGTATCACATATGGATCTGTATGGATCATGCTACATGCAATTAAAAGAAACAGATCTTTGGGGATTTAAAATAAGTATCTACTATAAGAAAAGGATGGGCAGTAGTGGGAAACTGCTGGGAGCGGGCGGGGAAGTGGGATTGGCAGTGGGAATCTGCTGGGGCGAGGAGGGGCACTTCATCAACAAGGCATGATGAGTATTTGCATATCTAACCCTGAATTGTACCCCACATCTTTAAAATGAAAAAAATTAAAAGTTAGGAAAAAAGTACTATAGCGTTCCCACATGTTTGGTTGGATAGAGACCAAAAACATGTTGTGTCGGGGAAAAGGCAAGTTTTAAAATGACATCTGAACTATGATACCATTTCTGTAAATAAACAATCAAACTACAGATATCCATTTTGACAAGTGCAGAAATATTTAAGCACGAGTACTAGAACTTTCTAGAAGGAAATACAGGTTACCTCCAAGGAAGGACAGAGGAGACTGGGATTGGGTGATATCCTAATTTTTCAAAGAAAAATAAATTCCTGTGCTGCTTGTGTATTTGCAATCAATTTTGTAAAATCTCCGCAATTATTTTGTCCTTAATATATGTATTAAATCAAAAGAAGCGAAAACCATGGAATCTTCTGCAAGAAAGTGTTTCCCACACCACCACCACCACACACGCCTTTCCACCTCCAGCACACCCCCTCAGCCAAGTTCACCAGTGCGAGGACAAAGTCTTTGCTCACTTTTATAGCCCTTCTAAGAATCACAGCCAATCTCCCTGGCAATGACCCTTTGCAGGAAAAGTTAAGCAAGAAAACAGTCAGGGGTCAGATCCTAAAAAGAATTACATGAACTTTATCCTTCCCCTGCCGATTTTGAGAGCAAAGTATGTTAGAGTTTGGCATCGGTGAAATTCACAGGAGAGAAGACGCAGTTGCCCACGTGTCATACCTGTCAAAGACCACTGCGGAATAAGCCCGCTCGGCAAAGATGACATCTGCAGCCCAGAATTCCTTTGTGGCCTTCAGACCCCTGCCTTTGCCCTCAGAAATGAAGACCTCCACGTTCTCCATCCTCCCAACTGTCACCTCAGAGTCAGCCAGGCCAGCGCGACAGATATTTAACAGGGAGCCAGGTCTCTTGTCAGTGCTATTTCAGCACCTCCGGTCTCCCAAATGGCAGGACCATAAATGGACAAGCCACCCCGCTTCCCACCCACCCCCAGCCACTGGGCCCTCACCTCCCCCTCTGCCACTTTTCCTGGAGGCTGCGAGAGGACAAGCCATCTGGGAAGGGTTTCCTTCATCACCCCACAAAGCTGACCTTGGAAAATGACGACCGGCTAGTGTGCTTCTGAGATTGGGTCTGAAAAGTTTTGCAAAGTTTCTCTGCAAGAAGAAACCCTCTGTGCTAAGTTCTGGGCCGCAGTTTGGTTCGACTTTGGTTGGAATAGGGAGCACTCGGTCAGTAGGGTATTTTTAGCAGCCAGATGCCCATGTCCATCACAAGCAGACAACTGAAAGGGTCCAAGAAAAGAAGCAAGGTGACATCTGCCACCCTGGGACCCTTCAGCTGTCAGGCTTGCACTTTCTCAAGCGAGCTGGCCCCCTCACCACACCCCCTCAGTCTCTCTCTCCAGCCCCCCAGGGGTAAACCGTTTGCAGGAAGTGGCAGAAGCTCAGCTGAGTCATGGGCATATACAAAGCAGTACTATGTAGGCCCCAAGGAGCATTCCTCTTCTGCTGGGCACCCGGGGTTTCCGCAGCACCCCCACTCTGAGGCATGGGCTTCCTTGCTCTCGGTCTCGCTCAGGGTGCTCGAGGGCTGGTGCAGGCTGGACACAGAACAGGCAGGCTTCAAACATAACCCTTGTCCCATCTTTCTGTCAAATTCCCCTTAAACACATGTCTACTGCCAGGAAAACACAAACGTGCTCTATTCTTTTTCTTACCCAGGAGGGAGGACCCTGGAGGGACGATTCTAAAATCCCCATTGGACTGAATACCTTTCTTCTTGGTCACCAGGCAGCTCGCACTAGGGCTAAGGAGAAACACATGTGCAAATCTGGAGCTCTGGCTGGTCTTCCGTGTCATGTTTTTGGCTTCTGGGATGGATCTACTCACAGGGGACCTGTGACCCAGATCCTTGGGATGTAGTCGTTCACAGGCTCTGATTTCAGTGTCAGATAAATGTGGACTTAAATTTGGAGTCTGCCACTACCACCTTGGGGTGGAATCTGTGGAACAAGGGTGATCATTCCACCTTGCTGAGTTATTGTGAGAATTAAATGAGATAATCTTGTGAAGAACATAACACAGCACTTGGCTCTCTGTAAAGTACTCATTAAGTGATTGCTCTTTCATTTCATTTATTCTGTTACATTACACTTTGCAAGAAGACATGCCAGAAGTTTTCCTGTGTCTTCAACCAATCGCATCTCCCAAACTCCTTTGACTCCAAGAAACGTCCTTTGTCAGACCATGTATCGCAATCTGTAGGACATTACAATAGCCACTGCAGCTAGAGAACCTCTCGATGACTTTTGACGTATCCCGAAGAGCAAAACAACCTCAGACATTTCAAGTGAGGCGACTCAAAAAGTAAACATCACATGCGCCCAAGGAAGAAAAATTTAAAAGGTGTTTTTCATGCAGGTTAGCTTCCAACGGATGCCACATTGCCTGATAACTCAAGGTCTTTCGATGGCTGGTCTTCCCTCAGGCCGACAGGGAGACTGTTGTTTTTCTCTAGACTTTGCACCCTGGAGCGGTTCTGGCCTAAGTCATGGTCAAGGAAGAATCTACCTCCCCTGACACCGGAAGGAGACAGAAAGCACCCAGCCCAAGACCCTGGCTATGTCTGCAGGTCTCAACTTTATCAGAACAATTATTATATTGCTAGAGTGTGGTAGACAGAATAGTGGTCCCCCAGAGATGTCCAGGTCCTAATCCCCAGACCCGTGAACATGCTACACAGCAAAAAGGGCTTTGCACATGCGGTTAAGGGTGTGCAGTTGGGAAGATTCTCCAGGATTATCCTGATGGGACCAATAAGGGTCCATGTAAGAAAGCCAGGAGGGTGATGGTCAGACAAGAAAAGGTGACAAAGCAAGCAAGAGGGTCAAAGTCGGAGAAATATTGAAAGTTCCGTGTTGCTGCCATTGTAGATGTAGGATGAGGTCCTGGGCCAAGAAACAGGAAAAAGCAAGGGAACAGATTCTTTCCTGCAACCTCCCTGTGGCAGAGAGGGGCTAAAAACAGTTAAAAGTATTCCTTTTAAGAATCAACAGGCAAGCTCCAGAGCTCCTGGACATGAGATGTGAGGAAACTAAAGAGTCAAAGGTCACTTCCTGGAAATGCAAGGTAGGCATCCATTCACAACCTTACTCCACATCCTCTCTGTTAGGGTCCAAACAGGATAAGGGTGAAATGGATGAATAGATGGATGGGGAGGAGAGACACAGCACCGGTAACCCAGAGATCCAAGTAAATTGCAAAGAATTGCAATTCACAAAAAGGTTTAGAAAGAAAAGTTTATTTAAAGAGAGAGAAGGGAGAAAGAAGATTTACTCCCCAAGATGGGAGAGGGGGCCAAAGCCAAGGAGCATGGCGACAGTCATAGCTCAAAGATCACATGGCCACACCAGAGTCTAGCAAGGTAAGGCTGCTGGCTGCTTGTGGTTGAATCCTTTTAACCATTCTCCTTGATGCGGGAAGATCATTAAGGTGATTGGGTGGTGGTCTGCTCACGTCATCACAAAGGGGCAAGGCGAGCGCAGGTACTGTCAGGTGATAGATAGCAGGCAGATGGGTGGGTCAGTCACATGATTGTTGCCATGGTGGGGCTTATCTGTGTCACATAGGTCACAAAGGGTTGATTAGGTTAACCCTGGGGGGGTTGTTTCCTGCAAGAGACATTAGACATTTGCAATTCATAAACTTAGACATTTGCAACTCACAAACTCCTTGACCAAAGGTGGTCTATTATCACTTTTATGACTTTGGCCAGCCAAAGGGTGATCTTTGATCTTCAGCCTTGACAAGGAACCTAAAAGTTTACTAGAGATTATTAAGCTAAACCATGAATTGAAAGGTTGGGCTGTCCCGGTCTTGCATCTGAAGGAGATTTGCCTAGGAGGGATGGGATAGGCTGCTTGTTCTGCAGTAGAATGTCTAAATGCTTTCTGATGGTTATGCTGAGGCAAAAAGACTAAACCCTTTCACTCTCTTTGTGAAATTATCGGTTTACAACCCCTGCCTGTCATGTGTACCCTGGAGACAATTTGTTCTTTAAAAATCCGGTTTTAGCAGGGCTCGATGGTTCAGCCTGTAATCCCACTCCTTTGGGAGGCTGAGGTGAGTGGATTGCCTGAGACCGCGGGTTCAAGAACCACCTGGGCAGGCAAGACCTCATCTCTACAATAAATCAAAAATTTAGCTGGGCGTGGTAGCGCACGCTTGTAGTTCCAGCTACTCAGAAGGCTGAGGCGGAAGGATCGC